GAGCCATTTTAGTGCCCAAAAGTTCGGGTCTCCATTGACTTCAATAGGGTTCGGGTTCAGGGTCAAGTTCAGGTCAAGTTCGAGCTCAAACTTTTTGCCGATGTTCGGCCGAAACTGGCGAACCCAAACATCCAAGTGTCCGCTCAACTCTAGTAGTAGGAGCATTCTTTTAGAATGACCTGAAAATGTTAACGGTTGCATTCAAGTAACTTTAAGGTGTGGTATGTTAGTTAAAGGTTGAGGTGGCAAAAAATATGTGAACACCGCCATGGTTTGATGATTTCATATTCGCTAGTGAGTTTATTGAAAATGCCCAGAGCCTAGTGCATGAACAGGTTGCATTGGCACAGAGTGTTCCGTGTGTCAGCAATTAAATCCTGGAATGTAGGGGTTTGGTAGGTTATTTTGGAATAATACGAAAACAGTAACAGTTTTATTCTTCAATGGGAGGGAAACATGCAGTACTGCCACTCTTCTAAGGAAAATAGAATTTACTGTAAGTAAAATTACTGTTTATCCTGTCGTGAGTGGCAGTACTGCAAACAAGTAGGATATAGCAAGATCAATTATCAAAAATATTTTAGTATGCATTGCAAATCAGATTCCTTATACACTGGCCAATATATATGCCCCAAATTATTCAACTATGAATTTCATATGCAATTTCTGGGAAAGGGTTGATCAAATAAAACAGGGATCATAACAGGGTAATTTTAACTGTGTTATGGATGTAATTATGATTAAACAATCTCATACAGGAAAGGTACAAGATAGAAAACTCAATTTATCAAGCCTTGATTCAAAGTAACAAACTTTGGATGCCTGTCATAAATGAAAGGGACTATAGATGCTTCTCAGTATGCATTGCTTTTAGTATGCATTGCAAATCAGATTCCTTATACACTGGCCAATATATATGCCCCAAATTATTCAACTATGAATTTCATATCCAATTTCTGGGAAAGGGTTGATCAAATAAAACAGTGATCATTTATTTGGATGGGTAATTTTAACTGTGTTATGGATGTAATTATGATTAAACAATCTCATACAGGAAAGGTAGAAGATAGAAAACTCAATTTATCAATCCTTGATTCAAAGTAACAAACTTCGGATACCTGTCATAAATTAAAGGGACTATAGATGCTTCTCAAAATCCCATTTAACCTATTCAAGATCTGTAGATTATACTAGCTTTAGTGTAACTATAATCTTAATTTTATTAATGACAGGAGGTGAATATTTGCTTAAGTCTCTCTTTACTAGAACTCCACAGCAGCACATTAACATAGAGATAAAAACACCAGAGAACAAAATATCAGGAATCTATAAAAGGATTCTCCCAACTAACTATTTCCTCTTTCACGCTGTGACAAATAAAGTACATGAACAATACACCACAAATACAATAACAGGAGAAACAAACATAACATAACAATGAATGCCATGCAAAATTGAAACCGTGGAACCAGTGGGTGAAGCCTTGACCTTTATCCTGTAGAGTAGTCGAAAACACTGATTAGCGAATGAAATGTACTGAGAAAACCTGAATCCCCATCGTAAATACTGACAGTATAATATCCCAGATAGTGAAAAAACCTGAATCCCCATCATTAAAAACGGTACCATATCCCAGATAAACCCCAACTCCCCCAGATAACCAACCTAGCCCAGGAGACCAGGTGAATAAACAACAAGTCAGTCAAACCAACAAACAACAAGGGGAGGGAGAAACTGGGAGGGAAATATTTGTCTCCTGTCATTAATAAAATTAAGATTGTAGTTACACTAAAGCTAGTATAATCTACAATTTTATAGCATGACAGGAGGCTTTATGTTTGCTGTTTTAACGCTCGGACAGCAAAGACCAAAGAAACACGATCCGCCGTACCAACCTAAACTCTGCGAAGATAGCTCCTCGTAACCGGCAGGAAAGCGTACGATGTCTTGGAGAAAAACACCCGCCATGTCGGTACCTGAAGTCGCTGTGTTACGGACTGAAGTGAACCGAAAAAACCTATACACCCCGCCAATGCCAACCACAACATGAAGGGCGAGAAAAAGGGAAGAACCATTTAAACAAATGGAGACGTCGAACACCGCCTTAAGGTGGGAGTGCTACCAAAGTAAGAATATGACCCTCAGGTCCGACTAAGGCTGATAGACAACTAAGGTCCGAGCCGCCGAACCCATCTGAAAGAAAAACAAGGTATACTAATGGGAATAAATCCAGAATCAGTGAATGGGCAAAACCCGACAGAACCCACCATAGGAGCATGACAAAAGTGTGCATACCCCCTGGGGCGATGAATACCCGTCCTCAGGAATCGTAAAGGGAATTCTAAGCAGAGCTAGGCCCGCTGACAACAGTCTTATGCCCTACCTAATCTAATTAATATTGCAGTCCCCGGTAATAAAGTGACTGAACAATACCCGAACCCTGTAAAAGCGGTAGCAAATTAAGAGATCCGTACCAGACCTAACTACTTGGAGATCGCCATGCAGACCAAAGTCTCACAATCCCCGAGATCAAATGAGCAAGGGTCCAGGGAATCCAGGAACTAGGTTTGACTCTGCCAAAGCAGAGATCATAATTCCAAAGTACCAGCAGACCGAGGCACCTGTAGAAAGATCCTGAGACCAAACAAACGGAGGAGAGTCGTCCGCGTCTCCGTGTCGAACACTCCTGGAGGGAAGCGTCCATCGCTGAGCAAATGGGTCTGTCATCCAGCCGAACTGGTCAGGGCCTGATGGGTCCTCCTCCGTAGACTAAAGTCTTGATGCTGTGTCCTCCCAGAGAGGAGGGCATAGGACACTCCTTGCATCCAATCCGCCCTCCAGGACTCTACTCCTTGAGATGTAGGAGGTTGAGATGTAGGAGGTTGATATTTCCCTGGTTGAAAACGAAATCCAGTGACTCGAAAAAGGGAAAACGCAGGGAGCATCTGACCTTTTGATCTGGGAGTTACCTCACAGGGGGTCTGGCAAGCCCGTCCAGGTAGACCGTACAGCAAGATGTCCTATATCCGGGTCCCAACACGTGGAAAACGAGAAAGATCTCTTCAGATAGTTCTGGTATTCCTGAATGTCCTCAATTCCTCCCAACCAAATGACTGATGCACAAGATACCTATCTCACCAGGGAGAAAATAGAGGCCACCTTACCAGAACCGGGCCCCGCGATCCCTAAACGTTTCTTGAGGGCCGTGACTAATTCAAATTAACTAATGAATATACATTCAATCGTAGACTCGTGCTGGTACTCCGAGGGGCTCAGATCCCTTTATCCCAAGAACCTCCAGCGGTCCAAATGGCGTTTAGGATAGGGTCATCTGCCACCCCAGACTCGGGGCCCTGTCTGAGATGTCATCCGAAAGTGGAGGCAAGTGTGAAATTCCGGGTCAAGGGTCCAATCCCCTATAAAAGGTACGGGTTGGAGCTGAGATAAGCCTCCGTCAAGTATTTCCATGTAAAAAAGGACACATATTATACTCACTCGTGTACCGGAGAACAATCAGCTTGCCAGTGCAGACTTAATAGTTTAGGCACTGCAGTGGGCCGCACTCAGGATCTCCTGAATACTAGATCGGTGCTTAACCAGCAAAACCTTGGTGCCCCATCGGGGTCTAAGTCTCCGTTTGCGGCTACTTTGTTCAGGAGCCCAGCTGGGAATACTGCTCGAATTATCCTGCGGGCTTCACAAGCCAGCGGTCTACGGGCCCAGAAACGCACTGATGATGCTAGGTGATTGGGCAGAGACCATTCCAAAGAAACCAGGTGAGCAATGGATCGAGGGTCGAACAGGGGTCCGTTTAAGGCGATCCACGAGACGACCTCTTCTTCCACTGTCGTCAGGGCCCCTGTAGTGGATTTTGTTCTACATCTCATGGTGCCACTAGGGGCAGTCATCATAATCCACACCCCAATTGTCCTCTCCCTCAGACGGGAACCGGTCTGCCCACTATTCAGCTAGGGCGGCCATGGTGGGGGGTGGTTACGGGGACCTTCACCCCTGCGCCACATAGGCAATGTCGTCTGGCCATCAAGGCCGATCGTATCAGGGCTAGACACTTCTCCGGAGTCTAATCTTTCCGGGCGTCTGGTTCCGGGCCTTCACCCTACCCGTAGTGCTTATGCGTCCTTGCCTGCTCTCCACTCGGAGAGT